CCCCAAAACCCCAAAACCCCAAAACCCCAAAACCCCTCTCTAGATTCTCAAATTGAACCTTACAAATTAGGATTTTTTTATATAATTTTCTTAAAAAATGACTGACTCAGCTGCCCTAATGACCACCCCCGATTATGGAGGTGGAAATGATGAATACAAAGAAGAAGCAGACGAAGATTTTGAGAACTTTAGAGAGGGGCTTCTTCATAAGCTCCCAGAGCCTCTTCTTATCGATCTTGATGCTCTCGAGGAGAAACCTTGGGAAAAAGAAGGCGCTGATATAAACGATTATTTCAATTATGGCCTTGACGAACATACATTCAAGCTTTACCAAGGGAAGGTCAGGGACAACTTTAGTAAACTTGACAGAGAGGAATTTTTGAAGATCCTTAAAGAGAAGAAACTCGACCTGAATCATGACCAGATTAATTTCTACCTTCCTCATGAAGCTGGAGGCTGTGGTATCACCAAGAATGAGGAGTACGAGGTGGTAAACACCTACAGAATTGGTAAGCTAATCGAGTTTGATAGTCTAGATACTGATGACCCTCCCATTTTGTGCAATAAATCTTACGGCTATTATGCTAAAATTACTAAAAATGGAATGCAAAAAGCCTTAGAAATGCAAGTAGAGGGAGGTGAAGAAGCCATGATAGACTCAAATGCATACTCCCATGGCCGCAACGATGTAAACTCCATCGATGGGCTGCCAGTGCGACAAGGCATGATCAATCCAAGAGATTTAGATCATCCAAAAGGTAAAGTTTATCTTAATAATCTAAACCCTCCATATAGATAAAGGCAAGAAAGGCCGTGGCAGAGGTGATAGAGGGCGCAGGAATGACCGCAGAAGAGGCGATCAAAATAATACCTCTCGTAGAAGACGAGATAGATCAAACAACAGACGCTCTAGTCGTGATAACTCAAGGATCAACGATAGAAGGGAGAGCCGTAGACGAAGCAGGACTCCTGAAGAAAACAAAAAGCCTGAATCTAGCAGAGATGACAAAAGAAGCCCTAGCGACAACAACAGCGGGGCTAGAAAAACCGCCTTAGATAGATTCATCAAGAAAAGTTCTAAAAGAGATAATGATAGAGACGACCACAGAACTGACAGGAGGGATGACCGCAGAAATGACAGAAGAGATCGCAGAAGAGGCGATCATGACGACCGCAGAAGAGACGATCGAGATGACCTAAGAAGAGACGATCGCAGTGACCGTAGGAGAGATGATCGTGATGACCGTAGAAGAGATGACCGTGATGACCGCAAAAGAGATCATAGAGATGATAGAAGTGATAGGCAAGATAGGAGCACTAGAGATGATAAAGACACTAGGGATGACAGAAGAAGCAGAAGAAGAGACGATAGAGATGATAGAAAGAGAAGAAGAGACTACGAGGATGATTCCAAGTCCAGAAGAGATGACAGAAGAGACGACAGAAGGACCAGAAGATAGTTCCCTCTGGAGCTATAAATCTAATTTTGTATAATTAGTTCAATAATTGCTCTATTCCAGGGGTTTTGGGGTTTTGGGGTTTTGGGGTTTTGGGGTTTTGGGGTTTTGGGG